AAAAAAAAAAAAATAGGTGGGAAGAAACCGTTTTGGCCCATCCTGTATTACCAACAAAAATAGTCGATGGTCGTCGAAAAAAAGAAAGGAAAATTGTGATTAATGGTAAAAAAGAAACCAAATCCTTAGGTAGATTGGTGTTTTGAATGTATTATTTCGAAGGAAGGTATGACGCGTAAAACGTACGAGAAAGGAAGGAGGATATATGCAACTGCAAGCGCCAATGCAACGCGTCGCGTCGTTCACGTTGTCAAGAATCTGTGATCGAACGAGTCCTTGTAAATACCGTGCATTTAATTTTAGTTTAATACTCGTACTCTTGTCCTCTGCAAAAATCTATTCGCACTTTCCAGTTTGTGTTTGGCATTGCGATAGCAGATAATTAGCATTCACCTCGGATTAAAGACACGAGATCGCTGGAATACCGGTAGCTGAGTAGTTTCGCTTCTCGATATACATACGTATACATACGTATGTTAATACCGCGTTATTAATGTCACGCCAACTTATAAATATGCACGTAGTTTCCTTTTCACTTCGTTCAAGTCCTTCCTAGATATTTACATCAAGTATCCATTTTATCTCGTTGATTTAACGTCGACTGTCATATCCTAAAATTCGTTTTTACTTGTGTTATTCTTAACCCTCTATGGGCCGAATATTTCTCTTGACTATAAGAAAATTTAGCCTATAAATACAGATTAACAACGAATTCAGCAGTTTCAACAATTTTATTCCAACGAATACATATTTTAACTTTGAAGTAACAACGGCTTACAACGTTTGCCAAATAATGAGACATTGTACAACAGAACGTATACGCCATCTTGTGGAAAAAAGTTCAATTACTTAATAAAATGTCGATATATTAGTATGCGACTTGAAAGTTACACGGGTCCATAGAGGGTTAACTAACCTAACCTTACCATCGAACCTTACGTCTCGTAACATAATTCAGTTTCTAACTAGATTTATTCTATATACGTGCAAACACTAAGATTATGCAAACGACATTAGCTAGACCGTAAACGAATTAGGAATTTCTGTGATCCTCGAGTTCGTTAAACGCTTCGCTTCTACAAATTCTTCAGAATAGGAATAAGTTTCGATGTTACGGTAGTGGAATAATTCGATAACGAGCGAAAGATCAAAACGATCGGTCAAACGAGAAATGTATTTACATTTTACACATGTAGAAAGGCGAAACATTTGCTACAAGGCCGCTTCAGCTTTCCACTTTTCCACTTTTCCTTCGAGATCAACGCGAATCGGGCGTCACGTCAACGAAGACATTGTTTTTTTAACGTTGTTACCGTCGGCTGCGTCACGTAAATATGCGCGTTTAATTGCCCAGGTCGACTATATAGTCACGTAGCACGTACGTATACAGCTAAGCTGCTTACACGATTAGAGGTTGTAGTTCTGAAACCTTTCGAATGCGATCTCGTTGCGTCAGTGGACTTTTTGATTCATTCGCAGGTTCATGTTGTGCATCCACGCATACACGTATACGTGTGAACGAGCTACCAACGCTACGCTATGCTTCCCGGCGGATCTAATTGTTTTCTATTTCACAAGAGTATTTTGTTAGTCGTGTTAGCCTAGTTTTTCATTTTTTGGATAGTTCACATATCGAAATATCAAACCCGCCCCTTTGATTCCACGTCAATTGTTATTCCATCTCATAAACAATACGAATACTATCCTATATAGTGCGTGCACAGGGTCACGTGCGCCAATTGTTAGACGGGCGCGCATTTTAAATTTTCGTATCGAGTCGACGCCGATCTATTTAGAATTTTCTCAGTCAAAATCAGTCATATTCGTGTCGTACGTGTGCACTCACGCACAGGGG